GACTAAAATCACACTACCCAGATTTATTCTCCGGACTCTTTTAATGACTTGCCGTACAAGTACCGGGTTTTGGGAACACGCCCCATATATATATACACATAGGTACATAGTATGTACAGATGTACCGTAATGATTCAGAAACGATCCAAACCTTTGACCGTGACCCATCTACATCCGGTGACCAGGCACCAATGGCCACATAGCGCGCCGTGGGCGAAGCAGCTGTGGCTGCCGCTATGCCGCGCACGGTATTCATGGCGCCGCGAAGTCGCCGCGAAGGCTGGGCTTGGAATTGCTTGGAGCTCGGAAAGTTTTGGAAGAACTTCCTGATATTCGGATGTCAGGCACCTTTTTACATTGAACAATTGTGAAAAATGATAAAACATGTGAACATCATAACTTCATGGTTTCTCATAATCTCTCTGAATTCAACCTAGGTTGTGTTGCCACCCGCACATGGCGTGGCCGTGGCCCAAGGACAGCTGGAGCCTGAGACCACCCCAAAAAGAGTGGACAATGTTGGCCAATTATATACATGCAATTACTACGCTCCGGCAATCAAACATGGCAATTGATGATCATGTTCCGCTCACTTTCAAGCATCATCGTCATCTAGAGCAGCTGGACGAGCCTCTTTGCGGAAGCCTTGGTGTTTCGATGGAATCAGGCGGTTTCGATCCATGAGGGGTATATAGATGGGGGTTCTTAAGTCATGGGGGATCCCCAAGTTACCATGGGTTTCAATATGTTTCAATACTAAGTCATGGTCCAATGACTTGAATTGGGGGTACCTCCATTTTAGGAAACCTCCATAAAAATCAAATAGATGATGCCCTTAGGGTATGAACCAAGAAACGAGGGGATTCGACGAATCTTTGAATTCCCTACCCTCGTGAAAGGTGCTGTGAGAGGGGAAAATCCGTAGTAATGAAGTACCTGTACTGTTTCAAGATGCTAAATTCCAATGTCACTAGGGTGCACTTTCCCAGAAGGACATCGATGTCGGGTTTCATCGATTGGCAAGATTTAAGCACAAACTGAACTTTTATGTCTCAAGATCTTATACTGGAAGCATATTATGTATCCTTTGCCACTTTTCCACGTGGCCAATCTTGCATACCATCCAAAAACTTTACATCTAGCTGGTGAGGTATACTCGTACACAACATATACTCAACCCATAGTGCCATAGTGTATACCCTTCTTTAGGGTATACACCGCTTACTTCACCGCATCCTGTCACTGCTGGCGTCTTGGCCCATCAGAAGGTTACGCACCTGGTCAAGTCGTTGCCCCAGTTCGTTAGCGAAGTCGGGTAAATCCAAGACCTAGGCTATATGATAGCTACAGTAGCTACGGGATATCTATGGTTAATGGGGGGTATCAACCAACTCATAACCGGGGGGCGACAATTTGCACCATTTCTGATATTGTTCAATAGGACAATGGCCTGCAAAATGAGCAATTTGGTAAACCCAACATTTGAAGTGTGCATATATATATATATATACACCCATATCATCCCATATCTATATGAAATAGTGGAAACATGTAGAAACATAAAAAAACATTAGCATATATTAGCATACTCACCAAACTTGCTGATTGGTTCCTACTTCCCGCAACGCTCAGCTGATCTGGGCGCACATGTATCGCCAGGGCTTTGGGCCCAGAGGGAGCGTACAACGCCAAGTCCTTAACCTGTCGCAGGAGCGGCCCTGGGTGCCCCGGGTGGGTAACCATCGGGGATTTATGTTGGGGAATGTCTTTGCGGAAACCGTGCGAATGAGATATGTGAAGAAGTCCTTCTCGGAAAAACACACGTATATAAATATTAATGTGTATATGCAATTCCCCAATAGCGATTGTTTGGGGTTGCGAATATGTATATATATATATATATATGTATTTTTTGAATATGTACACCACAATTACATATATAATCATATATATATATATATACAATATCATACACATATATACATGCATATCGGAGATTGTCGGGGTCTGCTTGGTATGTCACGCATCATCATTACTTCGTGGTTGTGAAACATGAGAGGTTGTCCATCAGTCTTATCAACCAACCGACCAACGAATCGGTACAATGGCATGCAACTGATCACCAAGAATAGCGGCAGGTGCTGCTATCAATTGGAACACACACACAACTATTGCACGAATGATCCCGGTATCAATTTCTTGCGCCCCTGGTGGGGGTACCGTACCGTCGAATATCTGGCAGTGTAAAGCCAGCCCTGTCAAAAGGATTGTGATGTCAAGTGAGCTTGGCTCTGCAACTCCACTGGCAGCGTCTCATGGTGATCCCACTGTGTGGAGTTGCCCTGTCCGATACACCCTACAGCTACAGCTGCCGAGGCAAGTTGATCCACTACGCTGGTTCTTAATCATTTAACAGCTTTCAGCCAGCTTCTTTCCTCAGGGCTAAATGGCGCATTCCACAGAATTCCCATCCCAATGTTGGTTAACCACAATCTTTTCT